AGCAACTGATAGAGAAAAATAACCCTAACCTATCTTAACCTAATGACAGAGGTAATTAAGTATTGACTAGCCGCCAGACTTCTTCAACTTTGAAACGATAATATCTCGTTATCAAGGATAACCATTTCTATTGGATGAGAATGATGATAAATCGTATCAAGGATAAGATTTGTCATGGGGTAAGTTCAAATTTTATCAATGATAAGATTTCTACGGGATAAACTCCATGGGCTAAGAACGATGAAGTTCCCTTATCAAAAATAAGGGAAGTGACTATAAATACGAAGATGACTCGGGAATAAGGTACACACAAAAAGATCTCCTATTAGGGAAATTATGATAAAAAATTATTTCTCTCCTACTAACTTGATCGTCGGAGGGTCAACGGCCGGCATCACACCGGTGTTTGACTTTACCGTTTTGGTTTTACAGGAAACGGTGTCGTACCAAGTCGCGGCGAATTTCAGCCTCAACAGATTTAAAACTAAGACTTGATGGTGTTACTGAAAGGTGAAAATAATAATAATAATAATAAATAGAAGGGTTTAGAGAAGTATAAAAAATTAAACGGTTAATTTCACTAACACCCCTTCAGGTTTGACCAAATATCAGTCTCAAACATCTTTCGAAAATAACTATCACTTAAGTTCATTTTAGCTACAGTGTCCGTTAAAAACATGAGAAAAGACAATTTTGACCTTCATTTTTTAATCACATTTATTTCAAAATATAAGATAACCTAAATTACTATTATATCCCTAATTAAATTATTAGAAATTTTTTAATCACACTATTTCTCTCTCCGTTATCTCTATCTGATCTGTTTTGAAGTCTCTCCTCTCTTATCTTTATCTGATTATTAGACGAATAAGGGGATGAGGAAAAGTTAGTTGACAGGATTGGTTCCTCATTTTACTCTATTTGATAATATACTATCAGTGAAATCATATATTACAATATTTTTTCTTTTCTTTATCTATCAGATAGAGATAGAAGGGAGAGACTTGTTCAGATAGAAATCACATGTTAAATGGTGTGTCAAACCACTTGCTCTATTTGATAATATACTATCAGTGAAATCACATGTTAAATGATGGGTTTTTGGATTTGCAATTGGGTCTTAGATTCTTGAATGGGTATTGCGATTTGTTCTGTTGGTGGTGTTACAAGGTATGAGTTTATGGTGGTCTTGGCTTGGTGTTGGATTACCAATGGTGGTGTTAAACAATTCACCGACACCGAATCGGAAGGCCCTCTATTCACGCCATTAAGGAACCAATCCTCCGATCTCGTAAAGTTTTAGCACAGACCCAATTGCGGAGGCCGACTCGAGTTTCGACAGGAATAGAAAGAGATGGAGGCGAGACGACTTTTGGGTAGCGGCGGCTGGATTGGCCGTTGAGAAGGGTTTTGGAGAGACGGTTGGTGAGGTCGGAGAGGGTGGTTTGATGTTCAACCAGATTCGGGTGTCGCCACCGCTGTTTCTTGTGCCCACATCCTCGCCTGTGTTGTGCTTGTGTGTGTGTGTGTGTGTAATTATATATATATGTCTGTGTGTGGGGGTAAACATGTCATTTGAATACTTAAAGAAATAATTTAATTAGTTAAACTAAAGTCAAAAGAGGGTAAACATGCCATTTGAATCATTAAAGAAATAATTTAGTGGGTCAAACCAAAGTCAAAGGGTAAGAATGTCTTTTTACATGTAAAAAGTGGTCTGACACATCTGTCAACTAACTTTTAGGGTGTGAGTGAAAAACGGAACAAACGTTCGTAATATGAGTGATAGTTATTTTCTAAAGATGTTTGAGGATGATATTTGGCCAAACTTAAGGAGGGTGTCAATGAAATTATCCCAAAATTAAAATACGTATTGATCCATGAAAGGAAAACACACTTATGCTTAGAGAAACCCAAATTGTGCCAGTGGTATATAGAAATAGTTTATCACTCAAATTCAAATATTTGGGTTTCTCTATAGGGTGATATAATAAAGGGGTAAGTGCAAAAAACACCCCTTAATTATACCTTTTGTAGCACTTTTACCCCCTAATTGAAAAAATGTGCAATAAACACTCCTAATCTTTTGATATTGTGTAAAATTACCCCTCTATAAAAATTCTGACAGAAATTAGTGTTGTAATATTTTTTTTGCCCTTTTATTCTTTCCAAAATGCCCATGTAATCATCCTCTTTACTGGCCGAAAATTTCAGTGTTCACCGCTGAAATTTCTTTGATTCTTACTTTAACAAACCCATCAAACTTGACTTCTTGCCCGTAGAGTATTGCGGGAAGCGAAGTATCAATGTTAGAGGGCAATACTCCCATCTCTAAAAAAAAAAAAAAAAAAAAAAAAAAAAACGTATCAATAAAAATGAGTTACAAGCGAGTGAGCAAGCTTCTTCAGAAGCAATCAGATTATTGACTAAATTTTTTTATTTTGTCTTTGTTTGTGTAAGAATGATCTTACACCAAAGCTTTTTCGTGTGTATTGTACCCCTCGTCTTTCGGACCATTCTTTGACTTCCGTAAGTACGCTCGACCTATCCCAATGATGGAACCACTAATATCGCCAATAAGAAGAATCGTAAAAAGAGAGAGAAAGCTGTAGATACAAAGATCAAACAGGTGGTGGTCTCACCGGTTGCACCCATCGGCCGTAGCCACCGTTACGAAGCGACTACCCGCTAGGTTACACCCACCATCTCCATCACATCTGATGCCAGGATCACCGACGAGAAACTCCTTCTGAACGGGGATTTATACACAGGAGGGTTTTCGGGAAACGTAGCTCACAGATTAGGGAAGTATCTATGGATCAATGGGTGTATGTACAAAGGGGAGTGAAAGGCCTCTGGGAAAGGGAAGTTCTCGTGGTCATCGGGGGCGAAAGCGAGTCGGATGGAGGGGTTCAGGACCTTCATCGGCTCCGACGGGGACACCTACCTGGTCAGCAGATCAGAAACATGGGTATGACCAATGGTACGCCAACGACGACTACTACGATGACTCGTGGCGGCGAAACCTCCAGGACGGCCAAGGCCGGTATGTGTGGAAGAACGGGAATGAGTTTGTGGGTGAGTGGCGGAATGGGTTGATCAACGACAAAGGATTGCTGATTTGGGTGAACGGAAATTGATACTATAGGAAAACATAATGTCCTTTTTGGTTTTTTTACCAAAAAAAATTATTTTTATATATTTTATAAAATTATTCAATAAGGGTAATTTGGTCAATTAAGATTTCAGGGAACCTAATTGCACCAAATTGAAACTTGAGGGGTGTTTTTTGCACGTGAAGGATGTGATATGCACTATAAGTATATTTTAAGGGTGTTTTTTGCACTTGACCCTATAATAAATAGGATCGAAGCAGAGTGGTCAAAATAAAAAATAACTTAGTGGTATTATTTATGAAAAAAAGAATAGCAAAGTGTTAAGCGTTAAGAAGATGCAAGAACAATGAATCTATGCAGTGAATACCAACTTTGGATGATGAATGGAAGATTAATAATGACTGCGTGGAGGGAATTATAAGTATAACGCTTATGAATAATATAACGAAAGAAAGAAAACAGTTTTAAGTTGTATGACTATATTTAAATTGTAAATCAAATGATGCTCCGGTTACAAGAGGAATAGTTAATTTATGTAAAAGGTCACTAAATGTAAGAAGAAGAAGAAAAATGATTTAAAATAAATTAAAATTAAGACAAGACATGATTTATAATGAGAAAGAGGGAAATAAAAATTCACGTGACTTGACTTCAGTGATTTGTAATAAAGGACAGAAATAGCTGTGGCCTTTCAAAAGCAAGGACGGATAGACCTAACTTACTCAGAACAATTCAAAAATAAGGTGCCAATACACCCCTGATCCAATTATTCTGGGCCATGGTCTGTGCACCGTACAAGAGGAGTGGAGTGTGGCACTGTAACTTGCGCTTGACCACTACTAATACCAGACTGTTAATTAATAGCATAAAGAATTGAAAATGAATAAAACAAATTTCTTCGAGAATACTCCTATATAGTGATAAATAAAAATTAAAAAGAGAATGCAAATATATTGTTATTAACATTATGCACATATATATATTGCATAACAGAATGTGCTCACAACATCTTCTCTAGCATACTTACTTCTGCATAGTCCCACACTAGGTATAAGCAGATAATATTTATATATAACAACTCAAATTTGAGAATTTGAATAGTTAACCGTGTGCTTTCCCGAATCCCAGATCATCTAAGGGCAAATAAGTCATTTCTAACATCAATGTACTATATACACATTATCCCATGGGTCATAACACACTGAACTACTAACATCACTGAAGGATCACAAATGCATCACAAATGCAGGTGGAAAGAACAGCATTGGCTGGCTGACAGCCTTATGTTAGCCGGCTGAGGGCAATAGTAGGCGTGGCAAAGTTCGACATGACCCGTCAACAAGACTCGAACACGACATGAGATAAATGGATAATTGATAATTTAAAGATTTAAAAGAAAATCCTTTGGCTTCTATTTAAAATGCAAGATATTATTTTGATAATTTAAAGGTGTCAGACATCTTAACTGTTGATGTTTTTTAAAAATTACTTTGCAGAAAGTTACCATTTTTTTTAAGGTATGGTATATAATTAAAGTTGCTTTTTTTAATAAAGAAATCTAGAGTGTAAGATTGATTTAAATTAAAATTTAAAAATTATTTAAAACAATAACTCTTTGAAAAAAAAAGAAAGAAAGAAAGAAAAAAAAAAAAAAGTGCTTAAACACGACACGAGATAAATGGATAATTGATAATTTAAAGATTTAAAAGAAAATCCTTTGGGTTGTATTTAAAGTGCAAGATATTATTTTGATAATTTAAAGGTGTCAGACATCTTAAATGTTGATGTTTTTTAAAAATTACTTTGCAGAAAGTTACTATCTTTTTCAAGGTATGGTATATAATTAAAGTTACTTTTTTAATAAAGAAATCTAGAGTGTAAGATTGATTTAAATTAAAATTTAAAAATTATTTAAAACAATAACTCTTTGAAAAAAAACAAAGAAAGAAAGAACCAAAGAAAAAAAAAAAAAAAAAAGTGCTTAAAAAGGAACGTCGTGTATAATAATTTTGTAAATTAAAAAAATTATTTTAAAATGTATATAAAAATTTAAAATTGAATACACTCGAGTATATATAGATATATATAATTGGTGGGAAAGCAATGGCTATCTGAAGAAAACCCTAGAAGCTCTCTCATGCTCACTCATATCCGTCAATGTCGATCCCTCCATTACCCAGTAAAATTCCTTACCCTCAGTCCTCTCACCTCCTTCATCTTCTCTGAGCCCTGTACCTCCGCCGCAAAGATCGCCGTCGACGACGAGCCTACCACAATCGACTCTCTCTCTAACCCTGTGGACATTGTTTGTGAAATCATCACAGGCGTGAAGACCATTGGTCCCGTGAAATTCCTTGAGGGTCAGTGGTTTAGAACCCTAATTCAGTCGTTGAATCAGCCTCAGGTGGATCAAATTGTCGACGTTCTCAGAATCGAGAGCCCTGACTCGGCGGTTTTGTTCTTTGATCGGTTGAAAAGTGAATATGGGTTTCGGCATTCTAGGGTTTCTCATTTGCTTATTGCTCATGTTTTGGCGGGAAAAAGGAGGCTCAAGGAGTTGCGTTCTGCCCTACAGCAAATGCTGCAACAAGAAGGTATTTTTAACATTACATAGATTCATATAAACACGGAAGTAGTGTGTAAGTAGTGTGTCTGTTTTGGGTGTATGCATATATTATCAGTGTGATATATATAAAAGTATATAAATATGTTTTTGTATGTATATGAAAATTATGTTCCGAGTATATTCAATATGAAAAGCTCAATTCAACAAATAATGATTTATTAAAATTTTTCTTGGTTCAAGAACCAATCTTTTAATTTTTTTAATTTTTAATTTTTATTTTTTGATAATTAAGAACCGATTTTAATTATTTATCTTTTACCTACATTTTCCCGATAGTCAGACACGGGGTCTGCCATTCTTCTTTGAAACAACAAAAACTGAAATTTTCAAGTCTAATGGATAAGTGCATATATTTGCTTCTAGAAAATGTTTCAGGCCTTTGTGCTACCTGATAATATCAGTTGCAAAGAGCTCGATCCTTTTGTATACATTGACGAAAAGAAAAAGAGCTTTGGGTGTTTTTATGTTGCTTAGTTTTCCTTCTATAGATTTTTTGTGATTTCTGTTAGGCACTGGTTCCGCGCCTTCACTTTGTGAGCTGCTTTGGATTAGCTTCAGGGACTGGGATTCAAATGGTCTGGTGTGGGATATGTTGGCCTTTTCTTATTCCAGATTGGACATGGTTCATGATGCCCTCTTTGTTCTTGCCAAAATGAAGGATTTGAATCTCCGAGCTTCAATACAAACCTACAACAGTTTGTTGTACAACTTGAGACACACTGATAAAATGTGGGACGTATACAGTGCAATCAAAGTGAATGGGATTCCTCAGAGTGAATACACTAATTCCATTCTTATAAATGGTCTATGCAAACAATCCTTGATACAAGAAGCTGTAGCATTTTTGTGTGAGACTGAAGGGAAAGAGTCTAAGCCTTGTGTTGTTTCATTCAATACTCTCATGTCAGGGTTCTGTAAAATGGGTTTTGTAGATGTTGCAAAATCCTTTTTTTGTATGATGTTTAAACATGGACTACTTCCAGATGTGTACAGTTACAATATTCTTATTCATGCGTTGTGTATAGCGGGTTCTATGGAAGAAGCATTAGAGTTTACCAGTGACATGGAGGATCACGGAGTACAGCCTGATGTAGTAACTTTTAACATTCTAGCAAAAGGGTTTCGTGTACTTGGTATGATGAGTGGGGCGTGGAAGATACTGCACGAAATGCTACGTAGAGGGTTAAATCCTGATATTGTAACATATACAATACTGATCTGTGGGCATTGCCAGACAGGCAACATTGAGGAAGGCTTTAAGTTGCAAGAGGAGATGCTTTCTCGGGGGCTTAACTTGAATAGTATTTCATACAGTGTTTTGCTTAGTTGTTTGTGTAAGAGGGGGCTGGTTAATGAAGCATTAAGTTTGCTTTGCGAAATAGAAAATATTGGTTTAAAACCAGATCTTGCTACATATTCTATCCTCATTCACGGTCTCTGCAAGCAAGGAGATGTACAAAGCGCTATTGAACTATATAAGGAAATGTGCTCTAAGAGAATCCTCCCAAATGCTTATGCACACTGTTCTATTCTATTGGGTCTGTGTGAGAAAGGGACAATATCCGAGGCAAGAATGTTTTTTGATACTTTAACAGAGATTGATTTGATTAAGGATATTGTTTTGTATAATATTATGATTTATAGGTATGCAAAACTTGGTAATATTGAAGCGGCTGTTAAGTTATACAAACAAATAATTGAAAAAGAGATTAGTCCAAGTATAGTCACTTTCAATTCTCTTATTTATGGGTTCTGTAAATCAAGGAAACTAGTGGAGGCTAGAAGGTGGTTGGATACCATCGAGGCACGCGGATTGGTCCCAAGTGCTGTAACTTACACCACTCTTATGAACGCATTGTGTGAGGAGGGGAATATACAAGCCATGTTTGGATTGCTTCGGGAGATGGAATCAAGAGCTGTTGAACCAACTCATGTTACCTACACCGTGGTTATAAAAGGACTATGTAAACAACAGAAGCTGCAAGCATCTGTCCAATTACTCGAGCATATGCATGCTAAGGGTATATCCCCAGATGAAATAACATACAACACTGTCATCCAATGTTTTTGCAAAGCTCGGGACTTGAAGAAAGCTTTTCAGTTACACAATGAAATGTTACTGCATAATCTTCAGCCTAGTCCTGTTACATATAATGTGCTCATCAATGGTCTTTGTGTATATGGATTCCTGAAAGATGCTGATAGACTATTCTCCTCTCTTCAGGACCAAAATATCAGATTGACGAAAGTTGCATATACTACACTAATCAAAGCACATTGTGTTAAGGGTGATGTAGACAAGGCAATGGTTCTCTTCTGTCAAATGGTGGAGAATGGGTTTGATAGCACAATTAGAGATTACAGTGCTGTGATTAATAGATTGTGCAGAAGATGTTTGATAAATGAAGCAAAAAAGTTTCTTCATTTGATGTTAATAACTGGCATCTCCCTTGATCATGAAATTTGTTCAGTGATGCTCAATGCTTTCAATGAAGGTGGTGATCAAAATTCAGTATATGAACTACTTGCTGAGATGATCAAGTGTGGCTTATTTCATGAATAATCCATGAGATAGTGATCTATCACCAGTGGAAATATCAATTTAATGATTGAGACAGAAAAATGGCATTCCAGGTAACTTTTAGAATCTCATCCTTTTTGCTTTTTTTCTTTAAAGATATTCCATGCAACCCATTTAATGGACTGAAGAACTACCATCCGGGCCAGCCGGCAAGTGCATAGGTTGTTTATCTCTGCACACACAAATGCACACATCTATAAATGCCCTGTATGAATGGTGGCATGGTTAACAATGGTATTCTAAGAGTTTTATTCAAAGACATTGATGTTTTTATTATTTTTATTATATATATGTATATTTTTATTTTATTTTTTTTGGAGGGGAGGATTAGGTATTGACCTAACCTGCTGCATCATTTGCATGATGTGGTGCCTTAGACTCAAATACTGTCTTAACCCTGGTTGTTTATTACGGTCTTTGTTTAAAAAAAAATTCCCCCTTTTTTCCTGTTAAAAAATGAAACTTTATTGATGGAAAGAAAAAGGTCCATATTATGAGTTATATTTGGAGGAAACTTCATATAAATAAGGCCCAAGAATTCAGGAAGCCTTAGCTAGTAACACCATCTAGAAGAGATGCAAAATCTTCCAGCCTATATTATCATGGCTCATACTCGCTATCAAGACTTAATTGATGGGAAAGAGATATGTCCATAGTACAAGTTATGTTTGGAGGAAATTTGTATAAGAAGGCCCAAGAAGTTGAAGCTGTTAGCCAGTAAACCATCTAGAGGAGGGGGGCGGCAAATTCATCTTACTTGAAATCAGCTTGAAACTAGAAAGCTAATTTGAGGTGCTCAACTTTTTAGGCATGCAACTGAATAGAGGATGGTACTATATGCGTATTGGAAATAAACAACCTAATTTATTTTTCTGATCACTTGGAAACCTTCCAATACAATTGAACTTTGAGCTTTCAAAAACTTAATGATTAGCCATAATCATTAAGAAGTGGGGAGGAGGTTTCACCTGTCTTATGCCTCTTGGGGCACTGTCAATAGGAGTAGCATAAGAAATAGAGATACACGCTTCAATCCATTTCCTCCAAGTTTGATCAAGACGTTTGTTCTCAACAACAAAATCTTAGGATCTTTTAGTACATCAATGTAAGCTTTCTACACGTCCACCTTAAAGAGCTTCTCTCCCCACTTCATGAAGGGTATGCATTTCTTGCACAAATACTCCATTAGAAGAGAATTTGGTGAAAGAAATTTTTTCTATTATTTAGTTGGACTATAGATAAGCTCATAGTCCCTTGAACATTATATACTTTCTTTTTTTTTCCTAGTTACTCACACACACTTGTCTCTTCTGAGATTTGAACCCCTGACCTCCCTTTGAAAGGTAAGAGGCTGATACCGCTGGGCTATTGGCCCGTTGGTAACATTATATACCTTCCTTTTTATTGTTATTGTTAGAAGTGAAATCTAGGCTTCTATTACTATTATTGTTGAATGAAGTGAAGTTTGAGCTTCTATTAATGATTTAGGAAGAATGAAGCTTCTAAAAAAATACTAGTAATTCTGTTAAAATCCTAATAACATTGAAACATTCAAATGTGAATCAATTATTACACTACATTTCTCTAACTCAAGGTCTGTTCGTCTGGACGGCCTTCTCATCCTTTATTAGTGACCCAGGCCCTCTGCTCTAGGTCTCACAGTTGCTGACAATACATCAACAGGCACAGTAGTGGTCTTCTTCCCTTTGTAATATGTCAAATCCCAAACAAAAACAATTTCTGCTGCTTTATACTGGAGACCTACTGTAGATGCTGGGAGCAACAACCTGCTTGACACATTGGCACAAACTGAGTCCCTTCCCATATGGCTGCTTCAATCTAAACTCTAGAAGCTAGCTGCAACCGAGTCTAACTTTTCTACGTGATAATATTTTAAATTGTTTCTTTCTAACTGCCTGTTTATTTTGATGCAGCTGTTGTTGGGCTGCCGTTGGTTCCCACATACCTGGGTCTCCCAGAGGATGAAAGGAACAATCTCATTATTATTATGTAAACAATGCATCTGCTGGATGTGGTGTAGGGGTTTAATTTGGTGTTGGAATGGAAGTTGTCTAACAAATAGATGATCAATGGACGGTAGGACTTCTGAGGTCTGTAGGTGGGTGAAAGCCAGAGAAAATACCCACAATGAAGGTCTTAGAGGCAGCGGGCCGTCCTGAAGATGGACTTATTCCGCGTGTTTTTCCATTGGTGCAATGCTAGACTGCAGCATACCTCTCCCTCTTGTTGTGCTCTTTCTCGGAACATTATATACTCTTCTCGATATGTTTAAAGAGGACATGCACTATGGAATAATCCACGGGTCCACCTAGCAGGGTTAGTGAGACGTCGCCCTGGTGAGTAACTTCCGCCACATTCTCACCAATGGATTGATTAGAAACGTCACCCTGCTATATCCCAACGAAGATGTTTTCATGAGGGGGATCCACGAGACTTCTGGATGTCCTTCTTAGCAGTGGTATTCTGCAAGTAACCGGTGATATTGTTGGTAAGAAAAGAAAAGGAAGAACTTCTCATTATCTTTATCTTTCTTTTCCATATTTATTCTCTTAATCATTTTCATTCTTACTTTAGCCACAATTTTATAAGTTTCACATAGAAGCTTACAGATCTAACAGATTATGGACCACATATTGAAAGTCACTTTTGGGACCAGATTGGATTTTTTTGGAAAATAGAGTACTTGCTCACAGATTTAGACCGTTATCCTATAATGATATCACCTTCCTGTTTATGATTCTTATTAAGAACATCAAGTATATCTGCACCGAAACTAGAGCCTTACCTTTTTGCAGAGTAAATTCAATGCATGTTGATATAGCCGATTTCTGCATTTTTCTTGAGAAAAGCACCGCTGTTGTCAATTTTAGTGCTACTGTTTCTTTGATCTTTTGAGGGGTTTCTATCAGTTATATGTGTGTATTTCCAGACATGGGATGCTTCCCATTTCTTTGATGGTCTAGTGAGCCAGGTCACTTCAATTTTGAGAACACTTCCAAGGTCTAGCTGCATTTAAGTGGGTAAAATCAGTATGTTTTTTTATTGCTGATCTTCATCGTGTGACTGTGTGACCCTTCACCTCGCGGCCGCCGGGGGGGGGGGGTGGTGGGGGCCGCGGGGGTGGGGGAGGATGTGTGAGATCATATCCAGGCAAGGCATAATTCATTTGGATAAGTCCATTTTAGTTTAGGATCAAACTAGATACTTCAGGCCCATTATTGTTGACCTGGAGCAATTGAATTTCTTGCTCTGCTCTAGCGATGTTTTGACTGATTTATCTATTTCCCGCTTCTAATCTTTGCACCATAAAGATCTGATTATATGATTGGATTATGCCATGGTCACTATTGAACCTTGAATCCAAAGCAATCCGTTGTGAACTTCATTTCTTGGAATTTTTTTTTTTTGTAGTATTATCATGTTCAAGCACAACAAAAAAGCTCATCTTTTTTCCCATTTTGCAGAGTCTGAGTTTGGGCAAGAAAATTTTTAGTAGACAAAATTGAGTCAATGGGGCGATCCTCAAAAAATTCATTTAGAATGAAGCATGAAGGGAATGCAACAAAGATATAAACCAGATATTGCTGCTTTTTACTGATCACCTTCCTTGGGTGCTGGGACAGTTTCAGGTTAGTTCTTGTTTTGAAGTTATAATCTCAAATCCTTAAAAAAAAATAGAGTTTCTTGTGTATCTAAAAGGAAACTGAAAAGAAAATAGTAAAATATTTTGGAAGTTGTCAACAAACACTCCCTTCTTACTGAATTATCTATGTGAATCCAATATCGTTCTATAAGTGCTTTATTTTCCTTCCCTGCAGGGATCATTGATACAAGTTACCCATGGAGAACGATGTATATATGTGTATATATAAATTGATGAGGGACTTTTTGATATCCAACTTCTCTTTTAAACTGGGAAATGGTGCTACTTTTGAGTTACTTCAGCTCCTCTGGTGTGAGGCAAGCTAATTCAGAGGTTTGATGCATCTATTTTTGGAGGCATGGATACAAGGCTTACTATGCAGTCTATTGTTCAGAATGGCCATTGGCTTATTCCTGATTATTTTCCTTCCCAAGTTGCTGAATATATTAGAAGGTTTCAGTCATCTAGAGATGATGATCAAATTGTATGGAATCATGATTCATTTTCTCTTCAATCAGTGTGGGAGGTTTGTAGGGTCAGAAAGGAAAAGAAATCAAGGGCTGTTGTTTCTCGGAGAAGTTGCAGATGTAGAGTAGCAACTCTTTTGTCCCTTATTCCAAAATAGAAATATTTCTTCGGTTCATCTGAGGAACTGAAGCTTATTCTTAACCTCTGTGTGCCTTTACTGCTGCTACATGATCACTTGTTTTATACTTGTGACTTTGCTGTTGCTATCTGGAGATACATTTCTGATGTTCTGAACTTGGCCAGTCCTTCCTTCTATTCTATGGATCAACTTATACATTGGTTCTTGAACTTAACCAGAGTGAATTCTGTCAAATCCAGAATTCTCAAATATGTCTTAGCTTGCACTGTTTGGAAAATCTGGATGGAGAGAAATACAGCTTTTCATTTGTGGAGAAGAAATTCTCCGCTGCAGCAGCCGTTGACATTATTGGGAAGTTTTGCAATTTCAGTGTAATTCCTTGGAGGACATTTCTTCCACTTCCTACTTTTGAGTGCTGTTTTTTGTTCACTTTATTGGAAATGGGTATTATCCATTTCTTTTGTAAGTGAAGGCGGGTATGCCCCCTTATATATATATATATAGATACATTGATGAGGTTTGCACCACCCAGGCTTCAAATTTCCTTTTTCTATTAGTTGCTTAAATGGAACTCTCTTCAGTCTTCACCCCTATTGAGATGCTTGTGGGACCCACTGATTCATGGCTCGTACCTTGATTTTCATCAATTAGATTTTGGAATTAAACTATGGTCTCATGTGTTAAAATTTAGGACTGGGCAAAAAAATCCGCGAGTCCGTGAATCCGATCTGATCTGATCCGTACGCTGGGCAAAAAATCCGCGAGTCCTTGAATCCGATTCGATCCGTGGGCAAAAAATCCGCGAGTCCGTGAATCCGATCCAATCCGTACGGATCGGATCGGATTACCTGACCCACGGATTGGGCGCGAATTCAAAAAATTTGAATCCGTAGTTTACGGATCAGATCACGGATCGAATCGGATTCACGGACCCACGGATTGGGGGTGGATTCAAAAAATTTGAATCCGTAGTTTACGGATCAGATCACGGATTAGGCCGTCAAAAATTCAATCCGATCCGTGAGTAATCCGTAAAATATATATATATATATATATATATATGTATATATAATATTAATATATAGTAATATATTTACTTATTCTATTTTTCGTAACCAGCATATATATATATATATAACCCTACTTTTTTTTATTTTCTTTGTTTTTAGTAAGTATTATGTATTAACTGTATATATATATACATAAAATCTAAACCTAACTAAAGAAGATCAAGGAAGCCGAAGAGAAAGCGGCCGCCTCACTACTCTTCTTTAGTTCTTCTGATCTCTTGTTGTCTCCTTCACCAAATCAAAACCTAATCGCCTCACCTCTCTTCTTGACTTCTTCTGATCTTCTCGACTTTCATTGTCTGAATCTGCACAGTCTCTAGTGAGTTCACAAAGTTCATTCTCTTCTCTTTATTTTGATTTAAATATGTTGTGGTTTTCTGGTTAAATTTCTATGATTTTGATTTTTGATTTTTGAAGTTTGTTGATCCGTAAAATTATACTACTGCTTAAGGTTTCTCAACTGAGTTTGAGATATTTGATTTCATTTTCATATTTTCTACCTTGCTTTTGCTTTGAAATTCTCGCATCTTTATTCTTTTTCTAAGCAATCCCATCCAGTATTCTACTATTTTTTGATGGATTACTTAGATCAAGCCATTACCATCAAAATATTATACTCTTGCAGCTGTGACTACGGTTTGAGGAGATTCATGGAGATTGTTATAGCATATGGACTATGGAGTGACTGTCTACTACCCCTTTTTTCAGTCCGCGGATTGAATCCGATCCGATCCGTCGTTTCACGGATTCGATCCGATCCGATCCGTGGACTAACGGATTGGTGGCGGATTCAAAATCTCCCAATCCGTTGTGAGCGGATCGGATGATTTGATGCCTAATCCAATCCGATCCGTGGCCACCCCTATGTTAAATGTATCTAGAGTGAGTATTTCTGCAAAAGGTAGAACATTCTTCATAGTTTTCATGATAAATATTGATCCATTCCTTGGAAGTTCAAAATGTTGGGCGTGGAGAGAAAAAACGCCCTCCAATAAAAAGCGCACACGTCACCATTACCCATATCTACATTCCAAGGACATATAAGGCCCATCATGCTCAAGCCCAAGTTGAGGGTATTTATAGCCCAAGACCATTGTTATTTGTCCTCCAACTTCCATCAAGGCCGAATCAAGAAGTCATCAGCCCAGCTTATGAGTATTTAACATCCGGCCTGTTACTCAAGCCCAGCCGGATCAAAATATATTCGGCCCAAGAATGCACAAGTCCTACCATATGAAGGATTTAATGTAGAAGGAAAATTCTATAGGAAGTTCTGTACAAGGCAAGTTCTATGTATGGAAAATTCGACAATGGAAAAAACCCTATTAGAAAAGAATGGTTATATAGAAAGAATTGGAGGGCAAGCAACGCGAGTCCTACCATAATCTTGCAATCTTTTGTATATAAATAGAGGCTAAGACCTCCAATAAAGAATCAAGCAATTCTACGCTTCTCTACATACTATTCTTATTTATTTTTATTGTTTTTGAGTGAGTTGTTTTATTTTTCTCAATCATTATTGGTTGGGCGAAATTTTGCACCTACACTTTGGCGCCGTCTGTGGGAAACGTATAGAAATATACTCCCACTTGTTCTTCAAATTAAATCCTTTAGTCGTGTCTGGAATGTCAAACGGAGAGTCAGCAATGAATCAACAGATAGAATTGATGCAAAAGATGCGAGAAGAGTTCTTGCACCAATTTGAGACACTCCGGCAAGCAAACGATACGAGTGTCGCCCAGATAGCTGCGCTTCAGCAGCAGACTCATACGCTGCACACGGCCATGGCTAGGCTAACGCCACAACCACCACTAGGCGATGCTGCGGCACCACCCCCCACCCGGAATTTACCTCCGGTTCACGAGCCTCCAGCCAACGAAACACCACCCAACGGGGCTCGACCTAGTGAGGTTCAGCAAAAGCAAGGGACGAGGTCCGAGGCGGTTGCTTCAGATAATCTCCCGCATCGCACACAGGACGAACAGGCCGAGTCCAGCCATAGGCTTATGGTATGGTCCAATGGCGTTCCAGATGGTGCACGGGTACAAGATGCCTTCGACGAAAAGAAGCTCTTGAGAGTCCAGACACCAGCCGAGATGGCTAGAGAGCACAAGAACTCCTTGGTCAAGACCCCCTTTACTGACGAAGTGTAACTTGTGGAGAGGCCGAAGAAGTTCACTATGCCATCCTTCACCCAGTTCGATGGGGCAGGAGACCCCTCTCGGCATCTCGATCATTATGCACAAAAGATGGCACTGGACGATCATAACGATCCATGGATGTGTAAGGTTTTTCCTACCAGTTTAATCGGAGCAGCGTTAGAATGGTTCAGGAATAGGCCACACAAGTCTATCCCTGACTATGAGACCTTGTGCACTATGTTCTTAGCCCAGTATTGCGGAAACAAGAAGCAGAAGAAAAGTATCGCCAGCCTTTTCACCATAAGGCAAAGGAAGGGGGAAACTCTGCAAGATTTTTTATCCAGGTTTAACATGGAGGCCTCGGAGATAGCAGATTGCCATCCTGCCACGGCAATCGAAACATTTAAGTTGGCAATGATCCAGGGAACCAAGTTTCACACATCTTTGGTCAAATATTCCCCCCCGAATATGCAGACTTTGAATGCTAGGGCACAAATCTACATCCGGTTGGAGGAAAACGTAGCCCACAGTGCACAGCACGCTACCCTCGTCACGGTGGAAAACAAGTCTCGAGAGAAAGCTACGAACACAAGGATGCAGAAGGTTCCTCATACCGCCACACAAGTCACCCAAGCGTCTGAGAAAAGGTGAAGGACAGATGACAGACTTACCCCTCTCCGTACTACCTTGGCGTGCCTATTCCAAGAGAATAAGACGAGGTTCGCGACTCCTCAGCCCATGAAACAACCCTTGGAGCAGAGGGACAAAAGCAAACATTGTGCCTACCATAGAGATTATGGGCATACCACCAATGACTGCAGGTCCCTACAGCGACAAGTAGAAAGCATGATAGCGAGAGGAGAATTGGTGGAGTATCTCACCACGAAGGAGCACGTAAAACCTCGGGAGGTTAACCCTCGACGGGTAGAGGGCGGTCAGGTAAAGGTTATCCATGCTATACACGGAAGGTCAGAGGACGATGAAGAGTCTGAAGAGTTGTACAGATCCAGGCTGAGAGAGGCTCATAAGTTACGAAGAGTGTCTTCGGTAAACACGGTTGCACCAGGCAGCATCAACATTGGATTCGGTAACAATGATCTTTCTAGAGTCCAGCGCCCGCATGAGGACCCCTTGGTCATCAGCCTCCTGGTAGCGAATTATATGATCAGGAGAGTGCTGATAGATCCGGGAAGTAGCGCCAACATCATTACAAAAACAGCTTTTGATCAGTTGGGGGTTTCACCATCGTCCATCAGGCCAACTTCCAGCCCCCTAATGGGATTTGATGGTACTAAGGTGAATCCGCTCGGGGTGATCGATCTATCCGTTACTGCAGCAAAGAGGACTCTGAAGGAAAACTTCGTCGTAACAGAAATTCATCCATCTTATAACCTCATTATGGGGAGAGGTTGGATCCATCGTATAAACAGAGTCCCCTCTACACTTCACCAAGTAATGAGGTGTTTATCCCCGGATGGCAGGGAGGTCATCGACCTCTGGGGAGACCAGGTTGCTGCAAAAGAATGTTACATGCTAACGCTACATGAAGCAAAGAAAGCGTCGAAGTCACCTCAGTCAGAGGCGAATCCCAAAGACGCGATCAAATAGCAGTTACAGTATCCTCTGCCCAAGTATCTCAAGGCAGAGGAAGAAGCCGAAGCTGAAGCACCTACCGAGGAGTCCCTCGAAGCTATAGAGGTAGTCCTCGGAGACCCCCAGAAGATCACCTACATTGGCTCATCTTGCATAGCCGAAGAGAAGGAAGCATTGATCAGGGTCATTCGGTGCAATTCGGATGCCTTTGCCTGGGATCACTCGGACATGGTGGGGATCGATCCTACAGTCTCATGCCATAGTCTGAGGGTTAACCCGGAGTTCAGGCCAGTCAAGCAGAGGCACCGACGGTTCGCACCTGAACGGAATCGCATAATAGCCGAGGAAGTAAATAAACTATTACAAGCAGGATTCATTCGAGAAGTGCAATATCCGCAATGGCTCTCAAATGTAGTAGTCATTCAAAAGAAGAATGGGAAATGGAGGGTATGCGTAGATTATACCAACCTTAACAAAGCTTGCCCAAAAGATAGCTTTCCTCTGCCCAAGATTGATCAAATGGTGGATGCTACGACGGGTTATGAAAGGCTCACATTCCTCGATGCATACTCCGGCTATAATCAGATTCCCATGAATCCTGAAGATGAGGAGAAAACTGCTTTCATCACAGAAACGGGCACTTACTGCTACAGAGTGATGCCCTTCGGTCTAAAGAATGCCGGAGCCATCTACCAGCGACTTGTCAATAAAATTTTCAATAATCTGCTGGGAAATACGGTTGAAGCCTATATCGATGATATGGTGGTCAAAAGTATACGGAAAGAGG